GCCCCATGGATGGGATCCAGCCTTGCCCTAGCCCCACACATGGGTCTCAGCCGCACCCCAGCCCCACGGATGGGGGCTCAGCCCCAGACCCACAGACTGGGGGGCTCAGCCCCACCCCAGCCCCATGGATGGGATCCAGCCCCACAGAGAGGAGCTCAGCACCACTCCAGCCCCCCAGACTGGAGGACTCATCCCCATGGGTGGAGGGAGGGGGCTGCATCTCCCCTCTCCCTGCCCCACCGCTCCTTGTGGGTCATCGCCGTGGGGCCGACCGAGGAGACCTCGGTCCTCTGGGCCGAGCTGGAGATGTCCGAGTCGTCCGTCATGGGCTTCCCGCAGACCGTCTCCATGATGCAGACGCGGAACTGCGGGGACGGGGACGGGGACAGGGACAGGGACAGCTCAGCCCCGGTGGTCCCGCCTGTCCCCTTGTCCCCAGCTCCGGGACTGTCTTCCCGTCCCACGTTGGCCCCATCTCCCTCGGGATGTGGTGCCCCCAGCCCCAGAGGTGGCTCCGGGCATGTGGTGTCCCCAGGTGTCCCCAGGTGTCCCTCACCCTCTGTCACCTCCCATCCCCAGTGTCCCCCCTCGCTGTCCCCACTCTTGTTGCCAAGTGTCCCTGGTCCATGGTCACCCCTGGATGTCCCCAAGTGTCCCTGGGCACCCCTGGAATGTCCCCGGGTGTCCCTGGGCATCCCTGGCCCATGGTCACCCCCAAATGTCCCCAAGTGTCCCTGGGTGTCCCTGGTCCTTGGGCACCCCAGGGTGCCCCCACTGCCTGGGTGCCCCTCGATGTCCTCAGTCCCTGGGTGTCCTCATACCCCCATGTCCCCAAGGTGTCCCAGCTCCCAGGACGTCCCCGATCCATTGGCATCCTTGGTGCCCAGTCCCCAGGTGTCCCTGGTCCCCAAGGTCATCCCAGTCCCTGGGCATCCCTGGATGGCCCTCGTCCCCAAGTGTCACTGGTCCCCAGCTGTCCCTGGTCACCCTAGGTTGTCACCATCACTCAGGTGTCTGGGGTGTCCCCAGGGTCTCCCCATTGTCCAGGTGTCCCTGGGTGTCCCCAGTGCTGGGGTGTCCCTGGGTGTCTCCATCTCCCAGATGTCCCAGGGTGTCCCCAGTGCCCGGGTGTCCCTCAGTGTCCCCAGGATCTCCCCATCGCCCTGGTGTCCCTGAGTGTCCCCATCTTCCCAGTGTCCCTGGGTGTCCCCATCACCCCGGTGTCCCCGGTTGCCCCCATTGCCCTGCTGTCCCTGGTTGCCCCCATCACCCCAGTCTCCCTGGTTGCCCCCATCACCCCAGTCTCCCTGGTTGCCCCCATCACCCCAGTCTCCCTGGTTGCCCCCATCACCCCAGTCTCCCTGGTTGCCCCCATCACCCCAGTCTCCCTGGTTGCCCCCATCACCCCAGTCTCCCTGGTTGCCCCCATCACCCCAGTCTCCCTGGTTGCCCCCATCACCCCAGTCTCCCTGGTTGCCCCCATCACCCCAGTCTCCCTGGTTGTCCCCATTGCCCTGCTGTCCCTGGTTGCCCCCATCGCCCCGGTGTCCCCAGTTGTCCCCATCGTCCCCGGGGGCACCTGTTTGTTCATGAAGCAGTAGATGATGGGGTTGTAGACGCAGGCGCTCTTGGAGAAGAAGGCAGGGATGGTGACCAGGCGCAGGTCCAGGCCGTGGTTGCGGTTGTTCACCATGTACATGGCCAGGGCGGCGTAGGGGACGTAGC